AATTTCAAAGGTTAACTCACGAAGACAAAGTTAAATATAATGAAATGTGCAAAGACCTTGAGTTAGAAAACCAAACGGGGAGAACACACACAACATTTCTCAAGCTGGGGGAACAGAAGAAAAAATTCAAGCCTTGACTTGAAATATTGAAGGAATCTATGGACAAATATTGAATGATGCAGAAAGCACCAAAAGAAGATGGAAGGAATATACAGAGTCACTGTACCAAAAAGAAATGGTCGATGTTCAGCCATTTCAAGAGGTAGCATATGATCAAGAGCCAATAATACTGAAGGAAGAAGTCCAAGGTGTATTGGAAAAACTGGGAAAGAACAATGCACCAGGAATTGATTAAATACAAATTGAAATATTTCAACAAACTGATGTGGCACTGGAGACACTCATTCATTATGCCAAGAAATTTGGAAGATAGCTACCCGGCCAACTCTTTGGAGGAGATCCATATTTGTACCCATTCCAAAGAGAGGTGACCCAACAAAATGGGGAAATCATTGGACAATATCATTAATATTGCATGCAAATAAAATTTTGCTAAAGATACTCGAAAATGGGTACTACATCACGTTGACAAAGTACTGCCAGAGGTTCAGCTGGGTTCAGATGAGGATGTGCAACTAGAGATAACATTGCTGATGTCAGATGGATCTTGGTTGTAAGCTTTACTGACTACACAAAGGCTTTTGATTGTGTGGATCATGACAAGCTATGGACAACATTGTGGAGAATGAGTATTCCAAACACTTAATTATGCTCATGAGGCATAGCCTTCCATATGAGTTGTACTTCAATGTAAAGAAAACAAAAATCCTCACTGCTGGACCAATAATTGACATCATGATAAATGGAGAAAAGATTGAAGTTGTCAAAGATCAACCATCAACACTGTGGAAGCAGCAGGCAAGATATCAAAAGAATTATTGCACTAGGCAGACCTGGTGCACAAGACCTCTTTAATGTTGAGCAAAGATGTCAGTTTGAAGACTAAATTGTGCCTGACCCAAGCTGTGGTATTTTCAATAACCTCATATGCATGTGTAAGTTGAACAGTGAATAAGGAGACTGTAGAATTGATGCATTTGAGTTATGGTATTGGTGGTGTTGGTGGTTATGTGCCATGGAGTCGGCCCCAACTCATAGTCACCTTGTATAGGGTTTCCCAAGGTTGTAAATCTTTATGGGAGCAGAAAGCCTCACCTTTCTCCCATGGAACCAATGGTAGTTTTGAACTACTGACTATAAGATTAGCAGCGTGACTCGTAACCACTGTGCTACTAGAGCTCCTTTATGGTGTTGGAGGAGAATATTAAAAGTACCGTGAACTGTCAAAAGAACAAACAAATCTGTGTTGGAAGAAGTACAGCCAGAATGCTGTTTATTAGCTAAAATTACTAGCTAAAAAAAACTAAAAAGGGTTTAGTCCTATTATGAAAATGGGTCCATATTTTTTATTTGTTAAGCTTTAAAAAATCTCATTGTTTGTGAATGGTTTTCCATGTCAATAAATATATTTCTAAGGAACATTCTGTTGTATGTAGGGCTTTTGAGCACAGTGACTCCATATGCTTGTATAGCGTTTCATCATATGTATGTTCCATACTTTTCCCAAATAGGTTTTTGCTGTTGAACATGAAGTTGTTTCCAATTTTTGCTATTATAAATGACTGTAAAACTTTATGGATATCGACAGTTATTTTCTTTGGGCAGATTTGTAGAACAAGATTGCTGGACCAAAGTGCATGGATGTTTTAAAGGCTGTGTTATATGAAGTCAAAATGCCTTTTGCAAAGATTGGGAATTTGTGACCAATACAAAAGCAACAACACAGGCAGTCCTTGGGTTCTGAACTGTGGACAGCTCCTACTTGCTCTTTTATGTTATGTCAATTATCCCTCACTTTGAAATGATTGAACCAATCTCCCTATTTGATACCAATTCTTCGTGACTATCTGCACTTGCAGCACAGGAAGCGTTTATGTCACTGAAAAAGCTTCAGAAGTTTTTCTTGCACTAACCCACTGCCATTGAGTTAATTCTGACTTCACATAGAGTTTCTGAGACTCTAACTCTTCATGGGGGTAGATAGCCTCACCTTTTACCCACAGAGCATCTGGAGAATTTGAACCACTGCTCTTACAGTGAGCAGCACGATGCTTAACCCACAGCGTCACCAGGGCTCGTTGCTTGCACTAAAGTAAGGCTAAATAAAAACTGTCTGCACCTGTACTGAGTTACTTACAAATTCTTAAAAACATTTGCATTGCGGGGACTGTGTGCCATTTTATCAGTAATAATAATTAATCTTTTCATTGAACTTACATGCCATGCACTGTTCTAAGCATGGACTCCTTTATTCCTCACAAGAACTCTGTCAAACTGGTGTCTGTTTTTCATTTCACATATAATTAATTAAATTGATTTCTTGTTTTACTGCATTACAGTATAATGGATTGATACAGTAGCTGTAGCAATGGGCTCAAACATAGGAATGATTTTGAGGATGGGCATTGTCTTGTTCTGTTGTATATAGGGTTGTTGAGCACAGGGGTCCATATGGAAAGCACTGAACTGTGAACCACAAGGTCCATGGGTCAAGCCCATCAGTCACTCTGTGGAAGAATGTTGAGGCTTTCTGCTTCTGCAAAGATTTGAAGCTTCAGAAACCCTGTACAGGGTTGCTATGAGTTGGAATTGAATCGATGGCACTTAACAACCACAATATAGGGTCATTATGAATCGTAAGGAGTCATGATGTGGGGCTGTTGGTTAATGAACTGGACTGCAAAGTCGGTTTGAACTGCAAGGTCTGTGTGATTCAAGCTCACCAGCCACTCCTCGGAAACCCTGTACAGGGTCATTATGGGTTGGAACTGACTCAACAGTACTTAACAACAATGACAATGAATCATAACTGACTTGATGGTACTTAATAACAACAACAGTCAGACTGTGACTGTTCTGAGTTTTATTTCTTAGACTTTATTAAGGTTCTTTGTGGCTTTTTTATTTTTTCTAAATGCTCCTAGTGTACTGGAAAAGAAGGTATACTTTGTGTTTTCAGATTACATAATGTTTGTCTAATTGACACTATTAATATTATTATTAAGTCTCTGTGACTCCATATTTTTTTTTTTTTTACTTAATTTATCAAAATGTGGGAAATGTAATAATGTCTTCACAATTCTGTGTTCCTATAATTTCTTAGTACCAAACACACTGGTTGGTGTCAATTTATACTCAATTCTATGCCTTAGTTATATACTCAAATCTGTAAGTATTTGTGATGGGAAAGAAAATAAAGATTTAGGAGAAATCAAACAGCTAAACTGAAATCCCATTCTAACTATTGCTACCTATGTGTACATGGTTGCATGCATATCGGTGTCTGTATTTGTGTATGTTATGGGAATGTAGATGTGTTACAGCAGTTTGTGGAAAATTCCATTCTCTTTTAATTTCATTTTCCCCACAAACTCTTTGAAGCCCCCTTTCATGTTCCTCCATGTGTTGGTGATTGTTTCAGACTGACATGCATGTCTATGTATGTTTGTTCATCCATAGCGTCTTTTTCTTTAAATTGAATTGAAAACTTCAGGACTGGGTTCTGCCTTCATTATTGCTGGGTTTTTCTAGAATGATCACAAGTCAGAAAGCTCTGCTACTCAGAATCCTAACCCATCTGAATTTGTCTCCTCTCTCCTGGCTGCAGAAGGCCCTCCTGGTAAGCTGGTCATGCAGGCTGCTTTACTCCCATTTTCTGTGTTAGGTGGCTGTGGCCACACGGAGGGTATTAAGACCACACTTCCAGGTTCAGGGGAGATGCTGCAAACTTCATCCTATTCACTCAGTGTGTCTGCTCACGCACACTTGAGCAGACGCAAAGTCACACACATCCTTAATAGCTGGAACTCAGTGGTCTGGACATTGGTTCAATGGCAGCCACCAGCATTTATAGTAACTCTCAGGCAGACAACCAGTGCATCTTATGGAATGAGAGTGTAATACATACTCTAGGGCTGCTGGAAAATAATCTCCAAGCCCATCTCCTCCCACAGAGGAGAACAGTGTGTCCCACAGTGGGCTCTCCTGATACAGTCTCCTTGGCTCATCCCACTAACCTGGATGAGCTGTCATGAGAAAGACTCAGACCAAGTACCCAACCTGGGGAAGGTTTTGAGGGAGCCTTGTGGAAGAGTAACAATCCATTTCTTGCTGACTCCCCAGGCAACAAGGCACACAAATACCTAGACACAGCGTAGGAATGTTCTTGATATAGGAGCTCAGAGGGCCTGCAGATGCAGCACATGTACAGGAGCAGCTGAAGGTGTAGAGACCAGTATGTGCTAAAATAGGCCTATCCACTTTTTCCTACAAAGATGAGAACCTGGAGGAAGGGAAGGGCTGGGAGTTTGTATTACCATAAAATTCCTGTGCTACCTTCTAAATGATCATATTTAGCAGTGTGTCTTAAGAATAGTGAGCATTTAGTAAATATTTATTGATTTCCAGGGACTAAAACTTGATTTGACATTGGGAGAGGTAGAGTTCTGATGTCTAATGCTTGTTTTATTGCTGGGGTGAGTTGAAGGCAGGAAACTCTTTGGGGTCTGAGTTTTCCGTGTCTACCATTTTTTATTCATAAATAACATGTTACAGACATTTCCCCCAAAGAGTTACCTTCTGCACCCTCTGATTCTAGTCACAGTATGCCCCAGGATAAAAGAGCATTGTAATGAATATGCCCACTTCCCAGAGAAGAGCTCAGCAGAATCACACCATGAGTGTGGGCAGACCCAGGACTGGAATGTCTGTCTCTCAATACCTTGTAACACTTCCTAGTGAGGTGGGAGGCTCCCGCTCTCTGTTCTCCAAATTCCCTCAAAGGCCGGGCCAGCGCCAGTGACCTTGTCAGGTATCCAATTCAGAAGGACCTTTCTTGAAAGTTCTGTTTCTTAGACCATCTCTTGTTTTTACCCACTCAGGAGGAGGAGTTCATTGATTGGTGGAGCAAGTTCTTTGCCTCCGTAGGCGAGAGGGAAAAGTGTGGCTCATACCTGGAGAAGGATTTTGACACTCTAAAGGTGAGGTCTGTCTCCTAAATGGTTCCATGCAGCTCAATAGCCATTGAGCACATTCTATGGGCAGTGGGAGCTACAACAGAAAGATATAATTATCTAAGTGTTCCTCTCTTCATTTGGTGATGACTGATGAATCCTGATGAATTAATTGGGGTGAGAAGGATGGCCCAATCGTTTAGAAATAGAAGACAGTGTGGGCTGGCGTATCCAAGACAGTATTTCTGGGAGAATACAGGAAAACACTTAAGTATTTATTGGTGAAATGATGCCTGGGATTTGATTTAAAATACTACTCCCCTCAAAAAAAAAAGAAAGAAAAGTAAGGGGGAAGATAGATGGTGGTGAGCGACCCTCTGGAACTATAAAAAATATGGGAATCACAAAACATTGAAAATTGTTAAAACTTAGAAATGAGTACTTAGGGATTTGTTACATCATTCAGTTTCTTGCAGTATTTTTTGAAATTTTCTACGATAAAAAAATTTATATGCGAAAAAGAAGTCAGTTTGATTTTGAAGTACCTTAGATTCTTCTCACACTAGAAATCACCTGTTGTTGCTGTTGTTATGTGCCGTGGAGTTCCAAGTCATATAGTGACCCTGCATAGGGTTTCCGAGGCTGTAAATCTTTATAGAAGCAGAAAGCCTCATCTTTCTCCTGCGGAACAGCTGGTAGTTTTGAACTGCTGACCTTGCGGCTCATAGCCCAATTCGTAACCACTATGCTACCAGAGTATAAAAACTTGGTAAACTTGGTTTCTATGAAGAATACCAGCCAAATTTGGGCATTTTGAGGAAATATCATCACACTTTTTAAAAATGTACTACTTTATAAAAAGTTAACCAGAACCAATTTCAAAATTGTTCCCTAAGAGAGTTGTATAACTTCCAGGGCATGGCTGCCAGATAACATTTAGGATGCCCAGTTAAATTTGAATTTCAGATAAACAATAAATAATTTTTTAGTATAAGTCTGCTTTAAATATTGCATGCAATTTTATTATCTAGAAAGAATTCATTTTTATCTGAAATTCACCTTTAACTGGGTGTTCTGTATTTTCACTTATTAAATCTGGTAGCCTTATGACTGAAACGTAAATAGGGAAGATTCTGTACCCCATGATGACATTCTGGGCACAGGTTTTTAGACATTTGAGAACAGAGGTTCCCTAAAGGAACTGGGTAACTGAGACTTGAAGCTACTTGGGGTAGTGGGTGGCTTGGATTTTCAAGGGATTCTGCTGGCTGGAAAGCCTTTGGTGGATCCTCTGGAGGGTGGTTTAAAATGTGGCAAGAGTTGTCTTTGATACACTGGAGGCTTCCTGTGAATTGGCCTTGGAGATGTGTACTCAGAGATAAAACCACAGGTACAGGCTTAGGCAGAGGTTTCCTGAGGCAGTTCTTCCTTGAATTGGTAGATGACTGTTTGAGGTTGGGCAGAGAGATAGAACTATGTGTGCACCAGGAAGATCTGACACATTAGGTTTGGCATGTGCTACTGTTGCCTTGCCAAAAAAATGAGGAAAAACTAAGCAGGAATGAGCACTTCTGCCAGAGTGGACTGTGGCCCTGACCCCTTCACTGCTCCCTCAGAGTCTGGATGCTGAATTGGCACCTACGTTTCCACCTTGACCTTTCTGAGGAGGTCTCTAACAGCATCCAAATGAAAATGGGATCTCCAAAACAAAATGTGTTCAACCTGTTTCTGGGGGACATACCAGAATTCTGATCCTTTGAGGATAAGTAAATAGAAGAAAAACCACCACCAACAACATGGGTCTTTGAAAAATAGCCTGTAGCATTATGGAGAGAATGAAGAGAAAAAAATGTATTTTTCTGGAGTCTGGGAAAAAAATAACAACCCATCAGCTCATAGTCTAAACAATAAAAAATACAGCAAGAAATCATAAAAAGCAGAAACCATAGAAAAAGCCATAGGGAAAGAACAAAGCATATTCGTTTCCCTAATGAATGAAAATGGATTCAATGTACTTATTAACTAATAAAGACTTTTAGACTATGTCAAAAGTCAAAGCTGACGTCTTTAAAAGACACACTTAATACAACTTAGACTAGTTAAACAAATAAATATTTTAAGAATGATATTATTGGTAAATATAAAGAACAAAAAAACAGATTGAATTTAAAGTAAAAATTATAGGAAACAGAAAGAAGTTTTTTATATAAACAAAAGGTATATATCTCAGTGGAAAAATTCCCAAACATTTATGCATACAGCAGTATAGCTTAATGATATATAAGGCAAAAGTTGATAGGAATCTGAGGAAGCTTCAAAAACTTCATGGACCACCCATTTTTCTAGAAGGTGAAGATGTTGGCAGTTGGGAAGACCAGAACTAAGGTGTCTACCATAATTATTTTGGTAATCTGGTCAATTAACAAAACAATAACTGCTTTTAGATTAACAAAATAAATCTGTCTGACCTAGAATGTCTATGGAAAATGGAATGCAAAGATAATGGAATATATTATATAATATATAAATTAACATCCCCTTCACGCTGTGGGTTAATGCAAAGTCAGTTTGAACTGCAAGGTTGGTGATTTTGGCTCATCATCTGCTCCTCGGAAACCCTGTTCAGGGTTGCCATGGGTTGGAACTGACTCGATGATGCTTAACAACAACACCATCATATATAAAGTAGGAGTATTGATGTGGCACTGTGAGATAAAACACTGGACCACAAGTTAGTTTGAACCACAAGGTTGGCAGTTCAAATTCACCAGCTGCTCCTTAGAAAGTCTATACAGGGTTGCTATGAGTCAGAATTGGCTTGATGGCACTTAACAACAACAACATATATAAATTAAAACCTCTCAGAAACTAAAGTACAGAATAACAAATTGGAGTTATGGTGAGGACTTTTTTTCACCTTTCTCCTTGACTGTTCAAGCAAGCAATAAATAAGAAAGCAAACAAAAGATCTGAATGATGAGATAAATATTTTTGAAGCTATAGCAAGCACTATAGTTCTAAAATGGAAAATAAAAGACAATGTGCTTTTTGTCTAATGCCCAAAGAACATTGAAAAAATTTGATCATATATTAGTTTAATAATAAGTTACTAAAGGCAGGAAACATACAAGGCAGATTAAGATGCAGTAAAATGAAGGAGATTCATAGCAAGAGTTTAAATAACAGCAACAACAAAACACAACCACTTAGAAATTGTTTAAATTAGAAGTCTTTAATTGGGACTTCCAGCATGAATATGGCTGTATAAGTCAGCAATGTTACCCTTTCCTCCTAGAAATCATATGGGCTCCATTTTCAGTAAAAGTTGGAGACAAATAAAACCCACAGGTTCTAAAATATATATGAGAGTGGCCCAAAGGCAATTGAGATTGGATAAAAGCCACTCAGCAATAAGTGAAGAGAAGGCACAGGAAGAATGATAAAAAGACATAGTGGTATCACATCTTAGAAAGCAAAATGTATTTTCCAATGGAAAAATGTTGATAGTTATTTAAGACAATTGAAGGGTGCATGATGGTTTATTTTTATTCTCTTTACTTTTGTGTATGCTTGAAAAAGTCCATAAGAGACCATTAAAAATGATTGTTGTTAGGTGCCATGGAGTTGATTTTGACTCATAGTGATGATCCTGTGTAACAGAGTAGAACTGCCCCAGAGGGTTTTCTTGGCTGTAATCTTTATGAACACAGATCACCAGATCTTTCTCCCATGGAGCCTCTGGGTGAGGGTGAGTTTGAAATGCTTTGGACATAGATATAAGCTGGTGACAGAAGCTCTCTGAGATCTCTGCTGAAAAGCTGAGAAGATGAAGTGATGCAGGAATCACACATATGAGCCGTATTTGAGGGGGCAGTCTACCTCTGTGTCAGAAACAAAAGATACAGATTGTCTAGGAAAATCTAACACATCTAGTGACAATAATATAAAATATGGGGTCCTGCTGTGGCGCTGTGTGTTGATGCACTGGACTGCAAGGTCAGTTTGAACTGCAGAGTCAGTGGTTCAAATTCACCAGCTACTTCTCAGAAACTCTACAGAGTGTTGCTATGAGTTGGAACCCAATCGAGGGTACTGAACAACAATAACATAAAATATAGTACAGGGATAATTCAAGTATACTATTAAAAATAAGAGAAAACACACATCAACACTTAATAACAAAGGAGCCCTACCCACCAGAAAAACTTTGCCATGGAACCAATGAGATGAAATCATTTGCTTTGAAATTTTCCAAAATCAGGCAATCAAAATGCAAGGCAGAAACACAGGAACTCAAGGTATAAGTAGTATGAGAGGAAATGAAAAATGAGCTGAGAAGACTCGGGAAAGAAGAAGAAAATATCAAAACTTTCTCAGAAAGAATGATGAAATTGGAAGGAGCAGAGGGGAGAATAGGCACACTGAGAAACACAGTAAGGAGCAGGGAGGATGGAAATCTTAAAAGTAACCAAAATAAAATGGAAAAAAGAATTCTAAAAGAATAAAAAGAAATGAGATATAAAAGATAGACAAAGGAGATCCAACATTTGTGTAATTTGAGTATCTAAAGAAGACAACAAAACAGTGAAAACAAAGTAAAACCAACTATAACAAATAGTTTGATTAATATAGATTTCATGAAATGAAAGAATAATTGACTCTGAATTTTGAAAAATTTCACTGTGCGCTGGGAAAATTAACCCTGGTTGGTCACTATGCCACTATATTCTAGCATAGTATTTGCACTTTAGAAACAATGAAAGAGAATTTCTTGTGTAATCATATCTCTTTCCTCCCCCCAAATTAAGTAATTTAAAATAAGGAAGTAAATCAAGTTGGCTTCAATTTTTCTACAACACTGAATGTCCACAACCAGAAACGTATCATTTATAAGGTCATCAGAGAAAGAAAGGATTTGATACTCAACTAAGCTGTCTTTCAAGCCTAAAGACTAGATAGGAAAAATACTTTTAAGTATTCAGGAACTAAGAGGATATTGTTCCTGTGAGTCTTTCTTGAGGACACTT